ATCCTCCTCTTCTCAGATCCCCCACCGCGGTGCTCCTGGCCCCTCCTTCCCGTCGGGTGCCCCCACAGCAAGTAGCTTGCTATGGGGGCACCCGCTGCTCTGTGTGTTCATTCACACACAGAACCGCGGCTCGGCCTCACCCTCTCTCTTCTCATTGGCTCGCTGGCTGTGACTGACAGCAGTGGGAGCCAATGGCTCCTGTTGCTGTCTCAGCCAATGAGCAGAGGGAGTCTTGGGATAGCCAGCCATCCAGAGTACATTGCTGGATCGAGAGGGGGCTTAGGTGAGTATTAGAGGGGCTGGGGGGGATGCTGCACAGAGAACGTTTTTTACTTTCAAGCATAGCATGCATGAAGGTAAAAAACCTTGAGATTTTACAACCACTTTAATATAAAAAATACATATCTGATGCTGGACCTGCTTTAAAGTGGTAGTAAACTCCCACATAGCAAATTCCACTGACGGGCAGGGTTTTTATAACAGGAGAGACCCTAGAGGTCTCTTCTATCATAAATGTCCCTCCACATGTCAGTGGTAATGCGATCCGGTCTGCAAATGTGCAGCTCAGACCGCATTTATGGACCGCACTGTGGCAAAGTGACTCCCATGCGTATGCGCAGGAATTATGTCACCGCAGCCTGGTCAATCAAGAGGCTGAGGATTTGGAACCCGGAAAGAAGACAGTTTCCCATCTTCGCTCTGGGCACTGAATGACTTTGTCCTGGCACTGGATAGATAGATCTTGATCAGGTCAGGATTTGCAGTCATCAATGGATGCCTGAAGTTATATAGATACTTGATCACTATTCAGATCTACGATCACAGTGCCCAGCAGAAGTCAAGTGAAGTCGCATGATTTCAAAATTCGGATCCAGTATGTACCAAGGCTCAGTTCTCACATTAATGGACAGCTGCTGGACAGGTAAAATGCTCAAGCAGCTGTTCATTCCTGTGGGAATCCCAGCTTTATTGTCAAAGCTTAATTGAACAAGCTGAAGTTAGAAGCTGATTGGTTACTTTGCACAGCTGTTCCAGATTCTCTCTGCTGCAGCAGGGGACTGTGTGGTGAGCGATTCAGCGCACCACATGGCTCCTTTTTTTTTAAACAAGCTTTATTTGAAGTGCACAAAATGTACACTTCATTCATGGTACTGTACAGCATCGCGATGCACTGAGCTGTTGTACAATGCCATGCGATTCTGCACAGCACATTGCAATAAAATTCAGTATGTCTGCATTTTATCGCAGCACACTGCAGCACAGCTCCTTGCAGTGTCAATGGGACACACAGGAAACAATTGCTTTCTGTATATCCTTGCGGTAAAACATCTCTCACCACGCAATTTGTGAATTAGTCCTAAAACCTAGAAGCTGATTGGCTGCCATGCACAGCAGGGCTGTGTTAATGGTTGGGTACCCCTGGGCATAGCCCCCGGTGCATTGGGGGCCCCATGATCATTTCGCATTACTTCGTACCTGCCTGCTGTCCCAGTAATGCTTTTAACTAAACTGTCCTGGGATGGCCATGTCCTGGGCAGTGTCCCGGAATTGGTACTGTACCCTCCTGATCCCAGTGTTGGCCCTCCTCCTGATACAGCCCCCCCCCCCCCCCCCCCCCCCCCCCATACTGTGCCCTTCTGCCTCCTCCCTTTACTGGGCCCTTTGTGTTGATTAGTTTCTGATTTATGACATGTTTTCCTATTGTTTAAAATTGATTTTATAAAAAGCACTTATAAGTATATGTTTGATTCTATCAACTATTTATACTTTAGTTCCTGAGAGTAGGTTAAACTGCGTAAATTGGGGCAGGGCTGGTAGGGGCCCCAGGGCATTACTTTGCCCAGGGGCCCATGATGCTATTAAGACAGCCCTGATGCACAGCTGCTCTAGATTCTGGCTGCTTCTGTCTTAGTAATTTGCCCTCACTGAGTTTAATTTACTCCGTTACTATTACAGTCACTTATACTAAATAAAGGTATTTAAACTGCATTAGCCCCTGTACAAAACAAAATTATGCTGAATGCATGTTACAAAGTAACAAAATAAAGCAAAGAGCCATGATAATTTATAAACAAATGCATATAATCTTCAGCAACAACAGATTTCTATATAATCAGCAGAAAATGAATCCTGATTGGTATGGCTTTATTCGTACTCTGCAAACTAATTATACTCTTAATAAAGAAGTCCAAACTAAAGGCACTGAACATTGATGAAAGTATTCAACTTACACTGAGCAGCAAGAGTGGTCATTTCCATTCTAATTCATGGTTTCTAGGATTTGTGGACTATTTTTTGACATTCTACAAAACAATAGATATCCACTGTATCCCTCCTCTGTGCCTGCATATATGAGAACATGCTGTATAGAAAGGTGCCCGACAGGAAATTTGTATTAAGCTGTAGCCAGGTGCCTGGAGTTTGTATGTTCTCCCTGTGCCTGTGTGGGTTTTCTCCAGGTACTCTGGTTTCCTCCCACACTCCAAAGACATGCTGGTAGGCTAATTGGAACCTGTCTAAATTGTCCCTAGTATGTGTATGTATGAATGTGAGTTAGGGACCTTAGATTGTACGCCCCTTGAGGGTTAGAGACTGATGTGAAATGTACAATATATATCTATATGTAAAGAGCTGCTTAAATTGACAGCGCTATGTAAGTGCCTATAATAAATAAATTATTGTTATGCCATTCAGGGACATTTACAGATAAGACTATGGTTAATATTTTCCCCCATAGTGCCCAGTATTGGGATTGCTACATTACTTCCTGTTAGCAGAGTGGATTACATTTTTCTAACAGCATATGATCTTGGGACCTGTAGTCCTATTGCCAATACTTCCTGTATTCCTGAGTGCTGATTGAACTGCAACTGAGATGAGAAACGGGAAGGAAGCTGGAAAAGCAAATATATTCTACAGCAAGGGACTGGTTTGCTCCCTTGGCATGGGATTCAGAGCTGAACACAGAGGGACTGCTGTTCTCCTTTAGAGACAGATTGCTGGCATACTGCTGCAGGACTCTGCACATCAGTTCAGTACAGCGATGATGCTGATTGCCACACTGGGATCGCATCAGCTTCTCTGCATCGGGACTTTCATTGTCTGGTATTCACACAGACATCTTTGCTCACGCACTGACAGGCTATATCGCGGTAACTCTGTACTTCCATGCAAACAGCCAAACGTCTTGGAAAAAAACTCTCATTCCTAGGGGACTATGCTATTCATAGGATTAGTGAGTGGGTGGATGCCCAACTTCTTTTTTGTCATCTTTCCCGAGACACCTCATGCAGACACCATTAAACCTGTGTTACCAGGAGACATTTGCTTTGTGCAGTAGCACAGCTTATATGCGTAACTTCATTGAATCACCAGTATTCACTAATGCTTATGGGCCCCACCATTGCTAGCAGAAGACAGCGGATACCACCATATCAGGAACTTTAAACATTGCAGGACTCATGTTGCAATCTCTAGTTAAAGGGACCTATTCTCTTCTAAGGTCATAGTTATTCAACTTAGCGTATTTATATCTATTTATGCAGGCGTATACATTTACATAATTCTCTGCATGCCCTGTTGCGGTGCCTGTGGCAGGGAGGGAGCTTATAATTCAGCAAGCCTTTTCTTCCCCACTTGCTGCTAGTGTTCCAATTAAATTGTAAAAGCTTACTACTTATGACTGTATAACCTGTTAAATGTTGCTAATGTATTATTCCTATTTTTCCAGCGTTCTGCTTTTATGCGTCAACTGGGGTTGTATAGCCTAAACCCATTATTCCTGTAGCCTACTCTTTGGAGTGGAGGTGTTACTAAAGAATATTGCTGGAGATTTAGTCCTCACACACACATACAACATTTTTACAGCTTCTGTTTTTGGCTTTTGACATTTTTGTTACAGTCAATAAACCCCCCAGCGTGTTATCCTATGTATCCATGCACACACAGACTGTAATTAATGTTTTTTGGCTGGAAAAAAAAAAACCCAGGACTAGTGGGTTTCTAGAGGAGTTTTTTAGCTGTAAAAATGCTCTAATGCTGTAAAACGCCACAAACTGGCGATTTTGGAGGTTTCTTTGACCAAAAAACTTTTTTTGCCAAAAAAACCCGCTAAAAACCGCAAATTTTGAAAACCGTGGCAAAATGCAAAAACACTAAAAAAGCTGAAAAATTCAATTTTTTAATGTGACTTTACACAGCTAACGTTACCAGCGTTATCAAAATGTCCAGTGTGCATGAGGACTTATTAAGCCCTGGTTCACATATATGTGGCTGTGCGGGCTGCGTTTTGCTCGGGCATGAGAGCCCATTCATTTGAATGGATTCCGGTGTCCCGTGACACTCAGGGAAGTAGTCCCTGCACTCCTTCTGAAAACGCAGCCCACACTGGAACCTCGGCTCCCAGTACGGTTGCATTTTCCAGTGTGGGCGGCGTGCTATTAGAGCTAATGGCACCCGCCCGTGGCTCCGCATTACTCTGTGCAGGTGGTGCAGTTGCGTGGATTTTCATGCGGATCCGCAGCAGCACCACCCACACAGATGTCAACCTAGCCTAAAACTGGTGCACACAGAATCTGGTGCAGCTGTGCATGATAGCCAATCAGCTACTAACTTCAGCTTGTTCAGTTAAGCTTTGACAATAATACCGGCAAGCTGATTGGTTGCTATGCAGAGCTGCAGCAAATTCTGTGTGCACCAGTTTTAGTAAATCACCACCTGTGTCCCTTGCATTATTATTCTATGCCATTGAAATATGTCAGAACCCAGAATGTCAGAGGTTTCGGAAGGCTTGCAAGGTCAGGGCAACCACTGAGAACAAGCATTATCAATAGCTACATAGCAATAATTATTTTCCTATTATTTTCAAACAGCACTGAAGGAAAGAAAGGGAGAATATGATCAGTTGTTGTGCACATCACAGTTCCTCTTTCAGACATTTTTTTTAAAAAGTGCTCTTTGTATTAGAAGCAGCACTTAATGGTCTCATGAAATACACTTACTTGTCCTTCTTTCAGGGAAAGCTGGCCTTGTTCTTTGACTCCGTGGAAAGTCTTTATGCTCTTCCATACTGTCTCCCCCAGCCGAACCCTCTGCACAAAGTTTGCTGGAAAGAAACCAGTCCGGTCGCAACATTTTCCCTGCAAGGGGATGTATGAATTTAGAAGTCACATGACTTTCCCTTCTCTGCTCCCTTCAGACATTACCACTGAGTTATAGAAAGTAAAGAGCTTATGTACGAATAATGGCTTGGGCAAATATCCAAAGTTTTAAATATATAACGTGTATAGATGTAGTCATGGCCAAAAATATTGGCACCCCTGTATTTCTGTCAGTTAATGCAGCAATTCGCCCAGAAAATTGTTGCAATTACAAATGTTTAGGCATTCTCATGTTTCTTTTGTTTGTATTGGTATGACACACAAAAAAAAGTAGAGAAACGAAAAGCCAAATCTGACAAATTTCACGTAAAACCCCAAAAATGGACCAGATAAAATTATTAGCACCCTCACTTTAATATTTGGTAGGACACCCCTTGGAAAAAATAACTGAAATCAATGGCTTCCTGTAACCATCAATGAGTTTCTTACACTCTTACCACTCTTCTTTCGCCAACTGCTCCAGGTCTCTCAGATTGGAAGGGTTCCTTTTCCCAATTGCTGTTTTGAGATTCTCCACAGGTGCTCTATGGGATTGAGATCTGGACTCATTGCTGGCCATTTCAGTACTCTCCAGCGCTTTGTCTGAAACCATTTCTGGGTGCTTTGGGTCATTGTCCTGCTGTAAGACCCATGACCTCTGACTGAGACCCAACTTTCTGACACTGGGCCCTACATTGCACCCCTGAATTCTTTGGTAGTCTTCAGATTTCATAATGCCATTCACACGGTCAAGACATACAGGGGGTTATTTACTAAAGCTGGAGAGTACAAAATTAGATGCATTTCTGCATAGAAACCAGTCAGCTTCCAGGTTTTATTGCCAAAGCTTAACTGAACAAGCTGAGGTTAGAAGCTGATTGGCTACCATGCAAAGCTGCACTAGATTCTGAGTGAACCAGTTTTAGTAAATCTACCCCACAGTGTCTGAAGCAGCAGCAAAGCAACCCCGAAACATCAGTGAACCTCCACCGTGTTTGACTGTAGAGACTGTATTCTTTTCTTTAAAGGCCTCATTGCTTTGTCTGAAAACAGGAGAATGATGGAAGAAGCTCCTCACAGGAGACATAGGGGAGCACTCATAGTGTAGTAATTAAAACTTTTATTGAGAACAGCACAGGTGCAGAATACAATAGAATAGCCAAGTATGAGCAAACACACTGACCCTTTTGGAAGTCAAAATGGCCGCCGGGCCTCCTCGTGGCACCGGCGGCTTGGTGTCAACGGCGTGCTGGGTCCCACCTGACGCGTTTCGTGCGCACGCACTTCTTCAGAGGTGGAACATAGGCCTATGTTCCACCTCTGAAGAAGTGCGTGCGCACGAAACGCATCAGGTGGGACCCAGGACGCCGTTGACACCAATCCGCCGGTGCCACGAGGAGGCCCAGCGGCCATTTTGACTTCCAAAAGGGTCAGTGTGTTTGCTCATACTTGGCTATTCTATTGTATTCTGCACCTGTGCTGTTCTCAATAAAAGTTTTAATTACTACACTATGAGTGCTCCCCTATGTCTCCTGTGAGGAGCTTCTTCCATCTTTGTAGCCCTGGGGATTCCTGTGCCAGTTCCTTTGGAGGCTTACTTCGATCGCTATTGCTCTGACCTGCTGAATCACTTCTCACCACATGAGGGCGTAGGATCTCCATCCTTCCCAGCCACATACCTGACCAGACTCAAGTGGAGAGAGGATCTTCAGGATATATATACACATATGCGCGTTACCTATGCGCGTTCTGGTTAGTGCGAAATTTTACCATTTACACTGGGAAACAAGGAGCACTGTTGTTTTTTTACTGGACTGTGTTTATTATTACCATTTTTCATTTTTTATGAGCGCTGCATTTTTTATCTATGCATTTTGGGACTTTTATGTGTTTTCCTATATGTTCAGCTGCTTTGCATTGTATATGAGCGCTTACTATATTATTATTACTATTCCCAGGAGAATGATGGGCTTTACCAAAAAACTGGAATTTTGTTTCGTCTGTCCACAGCACATTTTTCCAAAAGGATTTTGGCTTCCTCAGGTAAGTTTTGGCAAACTCCAATCTGACTTTTTTATGTTTCTGTGTCAGCAGTGGGGTCCTCCTGGGTCTCCTACCATAGGGTGAGCTGACAGAGTTGTACCCTGTGCCTGAAGGTCAGCTTGAATTTGTCTGGAAGTTGATCGAGGTTCTTTATCCACCATTCAAACAATCCTTTGTTGCAATCTTTGATAATTTTTTCTCTTTCATCATCCATGTCCAGGGAGATTAGCTACAATGCCACGGGCTGTAAACTTCTTCACAATGTTGTGCACAGTGGACACAGGAACATTAAGATCTCTGGAGATAGACTTGTAATAACCTTGAGATTGTCCATACCTTTCCACAATTTTTGTTCTTAAATCCTCAGACAATTCTTTGCTGCTCTTTCTCTTCTCCATGCTCCATGTGACACACAGAGACACACAACAGAAAGATTGAGTACATTTTTCACCATTTTAACTGGTTGCCGGTGTGGTTTCTATATTGCCAGCACTTGTTAATTAATACAGGTGAGTTTATTTGCAAATTACAAGAGCATCACAAGCTTGGAATGCAATTATTTCTTACAATTTTAAGAAGGTGCCAATAATTTTGTCCAGTCCATTTTAGGAGTTTTGGGTGGAATGTGTCTGGTTTAGCTTTTTTTTTTTCTCTACTTTTTTGTGTCATACCGATTCAAACAAAAGAAATAAACATGAGAATGCCTAAATATTTGTAATTGCAACAATTGTCTGGGCGAAGTGCTGCATTATCTGACAGAAATGCAGGGGTGCCAATATTTTTGGCCATGACTATGTATATATACTTTATATATTTAAAACGTTGGATATTTGCCCATGCCATTATTCGTACATAAGCTCTGCTTACCTCAAGGTAAGGTTTATGTGCATGCATTTATATACACTTTTTCAGTTTATATGAAGATCATATACGGGCTTTGAGTTACAAAGCACTGTTCTTGAAAAATAAGGGAAATTGCATAACAGATTGGTGGTATTTATTACAACTTTATTAATTTATTGCCACTTGGATTTTTTTGTGTTTGTATGCATTGATTGTCTTATATATAGGTTATGTTGGATGTCACACATATTCATTTGGTTATATAATTTGTATTGAGTTGGACACTTATTATTAGTTGCGCTGCACTCTCTGATATTGGTAGAACCCCTGTCCTGTTTCCATTGCTGTCTGTTTCCATGCCAAGGTGATTCACTCTCTCTATTTGTCCTGGTAACCACTGTCCCCAAAACAAAAAGTAATGGGAAGTCCAACATTTTAGGGTTCACCAGAAGAAGAGGTGAGGACAAATCTTCCAATGGGGTGGCCTGTTCTGGTAACACCAATCTAAAGCTGGCCATACAGTAACAGATTTCTTTTATTCAGCCTATGGGCTAACAGATTCCTCCATCCATACTAGCAGTGTGAGTGGACAAACCACCCCACCAGCTATTGTATTCTGATAGCCAGAGCTAGTGGTGACTGCAGCTGATTGGCTGCAACCACTGTTCGACCAACACTTTTCCAGCAAGCTCCTTCAACAAAAGTGGATTGAACAATCCACTTTTGTTTAATGGATTGGTGCCAAAAGGAAAAAACAATGTTCGAATTTTGGCCGAGTCAGCAGGAATCAACCGAAATTTAAAGCTGAATTCCAGGTATGAATATTTTACATATTTGCATTGGTCCAGCATGGACCAATGTAACTATGCATATACCCTACCATTCCAATCCCTCTGGAAGCTGGAAATCACTGGAGTAGACACAGCTACTACACTGATCTCTACTACTGTAGCTTCTGGGTCCTGTGTGGAGCATTGTTGCTTACTGAACACAACAGGTCTGTTCAGCAGGGGCCCCATTCAGAAAACATTTAGCATTTTTTCAGTGAATGCAAAGCATTCTCTGATTGGATGAGCTGGAGATCCCGACATCACCACCCTGCCTCTCCACCTCATCCAATCAGAGTACATGTTGCATTCCTTGTAAAAATGCAAAGCATTCTCTAAATGGTGCCCATGCCATGGGATGGGACCCTAAAGCTAGTGGAGATCACTGTGGTAGTGGTGTCTACTAAATGTGACTTCCAGCTTCCAGGCAGATCGACCAGGTATGGTATATGCATAGTGACATTGGTCCAAGCTGGACCAATACAAATATGTAAAAATATTCATACATGGAATTCATCTGTAGGCACTGTATGACCAGCTTCAAGGATAAGTTCACCTTTGGTAGCATGCTATATGTTCCACCCGTTCCATTCATAGCCGCTGCTTGCCCACCCCAACAGATAGTACAGGGAGAAATCTTCCCTTACTATCTATCAAATTTGAAAACAGCACAGCCATGCGGGGCTTAACCCACATGGCCGCATCATTCATTCACAGATTTTCCGTTAATGAAAGAACTGCGGGTCCCAGCAGCCTTAGCAGCTGTCAGTTTGTAGTTTACAGTGAACTACCATGGCACTCCACAGCTCCCATAGGGCAAGCAGGTATTCTGACAGGTCTGCAGGAGACCTGCATGGCATTATCAATCTACTGATCTCTGGTGCAATGCTTTCCAGGCTCCTGTAGACAAAAATAATAAAAGCACATTGTTTTACCTTTTATTTTTGTCTAAAAGGTGAACTTATCCTTTAAGAGGAGAATTTTGCTTACTTTGTGGCGATTCCGTTGTACTTGCTGTTGCTTCTCTGGGGACACAGTAAAAAAAAAAAAACTGATACGGGCATTAACTATCGGTCCTCTATCTAAACATAAAAAAAAAATTTGCTATACATATTCTTTAATTTCTCCAAACCTCACAATAGCTCTGCTGCCTATAATGCACCTCGCTGTAATTGGCCCCCTTGACATATGCAGGATGTCCCTTGCTGTGGTCCTTTAACATCCCTGCAGCAAACCTGCGTAAATATGCAATTATGGTTTTGTATGAGCACATTTTTCTTTCTCTCTTCTTATTCCTCACTCTTCCAGCACTTCTGTCATCAATAGCTGACCTCCCTCTGTGTTTATCACAGTGTGACCTTACCCCTTCTGCCTACACAGAGAGTAGGGCCTGGGCATTGTGACAATGAATTATGTGCAGTGAGGCTGATGCTGGGATGGATATTGTGGGTGGAGGGGGGTCATTCATGCATAATTACTTTGTTGCACATGTATAACAGCAAAACCCATATTTACTCTTTCTGCCTCTTCACCGCTCGTCCCTCTCTAATCTCTTTCCATTCTATTTTTTCACACTTCTCTAATACTTTTTTCTCATCTACCCTTATTAAAAAAAAATCATAATCCACATGAAAAGACACATCTCTTCACTCTATTTTCACTTGTTTACTGTAATTCTCTCCTTGCTCTACCTGCTGAGACCATAAAATCTGGATTTCTCACCTTCCACCAATCCTCGTTAGAGTCATCCATCACCATAACTCTGTCACCAGGCCTGTAGGGAGGAGGAACAAGAGATAAATTGAAGGAGCAAGAAATGGTGGACGACAGGGGTGCTGTGAAGATAGAAGGATGAGACACAGAAATAGAACCGAGGGTGGTGAAATGAAAAATAAAATAGAATAAAACTAAATAAAATAAAACAAAAAGACATATAATAAAACACAATAAAATAAAAAACCAAAATAACATGAAACAAAACAAAATGACATAATAAAACATAATAAAATATACTAAAAAAAATGTAATAAAACAAAATAAAATTTACTAAAATAAAATAAAACAAAATGACATATAACACATAATAAAATATACTAAAACAAAATAAAATAAAACAAAATAAAATATACTAAAACAAAATAAAATAAAAACAAAATAAAATATAATAAATCAAAATAAAGTAAAATATACTAAAACAAAATAAAATAAAACAATACAAAATAAAAAAAAAACATATGTGGTGAATGATAGAGTTAACAAAAAAAAATCAACAAAAAGCTAAATATGTCATCCATGTTTTTCTCACCTTTTTTGACACAGAATTATGTCATATTGTATGTTGGTGACATACATAAAGCAATATTCCTAATTAAGGTCATACTGTACAAAAAGAGAAGCATACAAAATACATGCAAAGGATACAAGCAATGTGAATGTTTCTCAGCAAAAAAAAACGAAAAAAAAAACCCCACTATGTCAGTTTATATTAATTATTATATATTATATAATATATATATATTATCTGCTCCCTGAGAAGGTAGCTAATTGGATTGATGTGGATGGTGGAGGGGCTAGTCAGGATTATCAGGTAGGAAGATGGGTTACTGTAACGAGAGGGAGTGGTAGGGGCTCACAGAAAAGGAAGGCCAGCCCTGGGTTTGAGCACCCAAACAGATTTGCCAAGTTGGGTAAAGATGTGTGGGTGGCAAGCTCAGGGGTGGGAGCCCTGGATGTCACTGCTATCCCTAACAGCCGGGAGGGCAGACCATCTGGGAGGGGTGGTGAGGGTAGTGCAGGAAGGCCTAGACAGTTGACGGTAATAGGGGATTCTATAAGCAGAAGGACTGATAGAATAATTTGTCGCCAGGATCACCTCAACCAAATGGTTTGCGGTCTCCCTGGTGCCAGGGTTCGGCATGTGGTGGACTGGGCTGATAATCCCTGGTAAACTGCAATATATTAAATTTTTTGGCTTAATAGCACTTTAAATGTGAATATTGTATTATAGTGTTTTAATGGTTCGGACCACATCACTGCATGTGTGCATGGACCCATAGACAGATCCATAAAAATAAAAGGATATACAGCTACAAACTTGGCTTCTTTTTACCCGTGTGCTAGAAATCTATTTTGTGACCTATTGAATCAAAGTGTTGTTATGCTTGGGAATTACAAGCTGTAGAAGAATTTTTACATTACTGTACGTGTCAAATGTCATTATGTGGTTGTGTCAAATGCTTGAGTCTCCATGATGTTCATCATTGCTTCCCCCCTCCCTGGCCACCTCAGCCATGGCATCACTAGCATGTCTCTGACGCTGTGTGTGTGAAAACTTCTATGACATGGTTGTGAAGCAGCACACCCCTGGAGGTGTCAAAAATGAGAAGAGTAGAAGGGTAATAGGGCCTCTTTTCATTTGCACTCATTCTTATATTTGAAATCTAGCATAACTTATATCCAGGACCCTGCATTCACTATATATGGTCTCCCATAGTACAGACAACATGGAAATGCAATTATTTAGATTATATAGATATATTTAGATTTATTATATAGATTGCTAAATACCTTTTCTCATCAGCAGTTAGAACAATCTTGTGACTTCAGCAGAGCACTGGTTAAAGCTTGTAGGAGGAGTTTTCTTTCTGCTCTAGGAGGATGCAGAACCCCTGGCCCTCTGTCTGGACAGTGCTGATTGCCCCTGTGCTGATCACATGCACTCTCCCAAGATTTAAAAAAAAAAAAAAAAACCTCTCTAGCAATACACACCAAACTGAGCATGTGCATGTGGCTACGGGTTCAGTCAGGATAAGCAATGGACATTTGAACAAGAGGAGGGGCAGAGAAAACAGGATCAAATGGCCTTTTTTACGCAATGCAGAGGATTAACCCTTAGGTTTCACAGTGAGTATAACAAGCATGCTTTACTGCATATACAGACTGATTTTACTGTTGTGGGTTTAGTAACACTTTAACCACTTCCTGACTGCCCTATAGCAGAAGTACTGCTACAGGGCGATGGGGATGCGCAAAATCACGTATACATACGTGATTTTGTATTTCCAAGTAGGGGGCATGCGCGTGCTCCCATGCCGCTATTGGCTCTCAGCATGTCAATAACTGGGTCCCGACCGTCGATTCGGTGATCGTCTGCAAAGTTAACAGGAGAGAGGTCTGTATGTAAACGTACAGATCTCTCCCCTGCCAGCACAAACAGGCTGCTTTGTATTGCTCTGCACAGCAGAGCAATACAAAGCAGCTTGTTAAACAGTAAAACACACACAGTTAACCTTTGATCGCCCCAGATGTTAACCCCATCCTGCCCAGTGTCATTAGTACAGTGTCAGTGCTTTTTATTAGCACCAATCTCTGTATTAGTGTCACTTGGGATGTCAGCGGCAGTTAACCCCAGTGTCAGAATCCCGCTATAAAGTCCCGCTGCCATTACTAGTAAAAAAAAAAACAAAATGCTTTGTATATACCACCATTTATAGATGCATAACCTTCATGTACAATTAATTTAGCACAAGACATTTTTTTGTAGCAAAGACATGTAGCAAAATACATTTTGGCCTACATTTATTAGAAATTTTATTTTTTTATTGGATATGTTTAATAGCAAAAAGTAAATTTTTTTTCAAAATTGTCGGTTTTTTTTTTTGTTTATAGCACAAAAAATAAAAATGCATAGGCGATAAAATACCATTGAAAGACAGTTCGATTTGCAGGAAAAAAGAACATAAATTGAATTTATGTACAAGGTTGCATGACTGCGCATTTGTTAAAGCATTGCAGCACCGTATCACAAAAAATGGCCTGGTCATGAAGGGGGGGGGGGGGGGGGGGGGGGGGGGGTAAATCCTCTGGAGGGCAAGTGGTTAAACTAAGCAATGATTAAGAACTGAAAAAAATAATATACACATAGTACTAAGCTGCAAATAGGCCCCAAATGGGTTTTGTATCTGTCAGGGATTTTTGTTTTGTAAAAACACTCACAGAGTAATTCAAAACAGCCCTAATGCAGGCCATACATGGGTCGAATTCCAAACCATTTTTCTGAAAATCGAAAAAAACGTTGTTCACTTCGTAATCCGATGGTGCCATCAATGATTTCACAATTGGCCAACCAAGTCATAAAGTTCACCCCATATAACAGGCAAAACTTCTGTTCCTTCCAGATCACAGCTCATGCGCATATATTTTTTGGGGAAAAATGATTGTACGATTTGACCATCATTGAGTCGAAAATCGGTAGTTTTTCACGAATTTTTCAACATGCCCAATCACCGAAAAGGGGAGGAACCATGAAAATTGCACCTGGTGCCATTGACCCACTAACAGAGCAAAAATGGGCCAATTATTCTTAGGTCCGATTTTCATATATGGCCGGCATAACAACAGTTTTCCGGCAGTAGTTCCCTTAAGAACTACCTGCACCTGATTCAGGCAAGCATCTGTGCCAGTGTTGGTAACAGTGCCAACACCTGCAGCAAATTCTGGTAGTTCTTACTGCAGGCACTTTTCAAGCACTACTGGCTGTCAGAATACAGTAGCTCACCAGAAGGAGATTTGTCCATCCGCACTGTTTATCGAGCATGGAAGAATCTGTAGATTTCTACTGTTCAGCCAGCATCCCTACATGTATGGCTAGCTTAACACTGAACTCCGGGAATGATCAGTATTCCATACTTATACATTGGTCCAGCTAGGTAGAATGTAAATATACATACATATGTCATACCTGATGGGCCACTGGGGAAGCTGGAAATGGCTGTAGTACTTAAACTGCAGGAATAGCCTCGCTTCTTGCTTAAAGTGTTACTAAACCCACAACAGTAAAATCAGTCTGCATATGCAGTAAAGCAAGCTTGTTATACTCACTGTGGAACGTGAGGGGTTAATCCTCTGCATTGTGTAAAAAGGCTGTTTGATCCTGTCTTCTCTGATCCTCCCCTTCTTCCACAGTCCCCATTTCGTCTGCTGATAGAACACAGCCTTGGGGGCACTCTGCACATGCTCATTTTGGTGTGTATTGCTAGGAAGTTTTTTTTTTTGCATGTGATCAGCACAGAGCCAATCAGCACTGTCCAGACAGAAGTCAGGGGTTCTGCATCCTCCTAGAGTAAAATGAAAACTTTTCCTACAAGCTTTAACCATACACTGGACACTGATAGACATCACAAGACTGCTATATTCTGCTGATAAGAAAAGGTATTTAGCATTTATATTTACAAAATATCTGCATTTCCATGTTTTGTGTACTGTGGGAGTCCAGATACAGTGAATGCGGTCCGGGGTTTAGTAACACTTTAAGCGAGTGACTTCCTGTGGTCAGTGTGTAGAAGGGTCCTGCTCGGGTTTGTGTGTGCAGTTTCTTTACCACACACTGACCACAGGGGGTCACTCGCTCAACACCACCGCCAATTATAGAATGACTTGCATTTTTTCAATTAATATAAGGCATTCTTGTTTGAACAAGGTGGAGATGGTGGCACTATCACCCCTCCTTTCCACCTTATCCAATCAGATTAAAGCCCATGGGAGGATGAAATGCATTAGAGAGGCATGGCATGGTAGACTAGTTGAAGCCAGTCTTTACTTTCTTACACTGGTCCGACTGCAAGTGTGTTGACTGCAAGTTTATCCTTTAGGCACCTATGCGTTTTCCGTTGCCATTTTGCGTTAACGCACAGCAGTCCATTTAACATGATTTCCTATGGGACAGGTTCACATCTCAGCGTTTTCTCCCATTGCGTTTTTTTTTGGAAAGGGTCAGGGACTTTTCTAAATGCAAAACGTTGCATTTTTGATTCTATAGACTTCAATAGAGATGCTGCAGAAAAGTATGTAGTGCATTTTTGATGCGTTTTGATCTGCCCAGCAACAAGTAAAAAAAAGAAAAAGCATTAAAAATGCGGCAAAAAGCAAAGCGCACTGCAGAAACGGATCAAACACAAACTGCATAGGTGTGAACCTAGCCTTATAGTGGATGGGCTCACCAGGAGCAGAAACACAGTTGCTTGGAGTGGTGCAGTTTATCGTGGGGTCACATCTTTGTAGTCATTGAATAAATTACAATGCGTTCTGTGAATGGCAGTAGTGCTGAGTGAGCAACCCCCTCTGATCGGTGTGCAGAGGGGAAGCTGCTCGCTTACCCCTGGTTCACATATATGCAGCCGTGCGGGCTGTGTTTTACGCGGGCACGAGAGCCCATTCATTTGAATGGACTCCCGTGCCCCGGGACACGCAGGGAAGAAGTCCCTGCACTTCTTCTGAAAACGCAGCCCACACGGTATGGTTGTGTTTTCCAGTGTGGGCGGCATGTCATTAGAACTAATGGCACCCACCCGCGGGTCCGCATTCCTCTGTACGGGTGGTGCGGCTGCACGGATTTTCATGCGGATCCGCAATGGCACCACCCGCACCTATGTGAATTAAGCCTTAGAAACCAAGCAGGACCCAGCAGATTGTGGCTAGAACTGCAGAAGCACTGCCTGCTACATTGATTTTCTGCTTCCCTAGTGGCCCATCAGATACATGATTTGCATACTTACATTGTGCCAAGCTGGACCAATCATAAGTATGCAATACAAATGTACCGGTACCCACGTAGGCACTAGCAGTCAGATAGGTCCCTGAGGTATTTTCCCATAGTCTCACCCCACAGCCAGGCACATGAACACAGTCACTCCTTGGCTCAGTAAACAGTCCAGGGGTGGTTTTTTTTGGTGTTTTTATTTTCAGGGTTAACTTGGATGGGGATTGGGGATGAATGGGATGCTCCAAGAAGAACCATGTACAAGCTGAGGACACTAACTTTCTTCTGCAGCACTTTGAAGTGATATTAAAGAAAATTTTTTAAAATAATAAACAACACACTTACCTGCTCTGTGTAATGCTTTTGCACAGAGAAGCCCCCATCCTCCTGTTCTTGGATCTGCTGCTGGTGCTCCTAGCCCCTCCCTCTTGCAGAGTGCCCCTACAACAAGCAGTTTGCTATGGGGGCACCCGAGCAGGTTCACTCACAAGCCTTGTCCATTCACACACAGAGTGTGGTCCGGCCCCGCCTCACCCCCCGCTCTCTCTTCATTACTTTCCGGCACCCGGTGATTGCTGAGCATCTCCCAGCACAGCCATCCAAAGCAGTGTGATTACAGTGAAGCACAGACACAAGTAAAAGAGCACACAGCTCTCAGTTAACCCTTTGATCGCTCCTCATGTTAACCCCTTTCTGCCCAGTGCCATTAGTACAGTGTCAGCGCTTTTTTTTTTTTAGCACTGATCACTGTATTGGTGTCACTGGGGATGTCAGTGACATCAAGTCAGTTCCCCCCAGTGTCAGAATGCCCGCCGCAGTCCCGCTATAAGTCGCTGATTGCCGCCGTTACTAGTAAAAATAAAAAAATAAAAAAATTACAGTATCTATACCGCCATTTGTAAATGATAAAACTTTCACTCAAACCATTTAATTTACACGTATTGGGATTTTTTTTTAGCCAAGTCATGTAGCAGAATACATTTTGACCTAAATTTATGACGAAATTATTTTTAATTTTTAACAATTTTGTACTGGACATGTTTAATAGCAAAAAGTCAAAAATATTGTTTTTTTTCTCAAAATTGTCGGTCTTTGTTTTTTATATAGTGCAAAAAATAAAAAATGCATAGGCGATCAAATACCACCGAAAGAAAGCTCAATTCGTGGGAAAAAAAAGGATGTAAATTTCATTTGGGTGCAGCGTTGCATAACTGCGCAATTGTCAGTTAAAATAATGCAACGCCGTAACGTTAAAAAATGACCTGGACAGGAAGGGGGATAAATCCTCAGGAGAGCAACTTGAGCAGAGTCCCTTTACACAGAACAGGATGGACTGAGCTCTTCAGGATACCAGCCAGTATCCCCTTTTCCTGCACTCTCAGCTGACTGGCTAGTACCAGAGCCCACAGTCTCTAGGATCTCTCACACAGTCTGTACTCACAAATGTCTTCAGACGAATGGATGTCACCTTACAATGTCCTCCAGACACCTCTACCACTGATTCCAGACCAAATCCAACAAGAGATAGTCCCTCAGTCAGCTTCCAGACCTCTCAGATAGTCCACCTCAAGGACAGCAAGCACATGGCAAGACTGCCCATAAGACAACAGGCTCTCTAGGCTGGACTCCTCCTCTTCAGAACAAGACAAGAGTACAAGAATATAGATCACGGGCCCTCCAGCTGTTGCAAATCTACAAGTCCCATGAGGCATTGAAACATTGAGAGTTACAAGTATGACTCCCAAAGGTAGAGGCATGGTGGGACTTGTAGTTTTCAAACAGCTGGAGGGCCACCAGTTTGACACCCCTGCTCTAGATCTCAGACTATTTATACCTACTTCCCAGCAGCCACTTGTGCAGGGCCCACAAATATTGGCTGGGACTATTTAAATATTCATGCTACCCAGTTACATTGCCCCACACCTATGTTCCAGAATTATCTATGTGGCTCTGGAGATATAGAGTGAGATCAATTAAATCTGCAGACTGTGAGACGCAGAGTAAAACCTAAAAAATCACATGTAGCTGGACTGACTACAGTGAGCTAGAAATTAATTTGCCTAACCCGGAATTACAGTGAGATAAGCTAAATTTACCTAACAACAAAAATGCAGCTCCACTGGATACGGTGAGCCAAACTGAACCAATCTACTTCTAGCACCCATCTACAAGGGTGCTACAGAAATAATTCCATGAGTTCAACTTTAAGGCTCCTTTCAGACGGGGCAGACCCCTCAGCGGATCTCTCCGTTGATCCCCGCTGAGTAGGCGGATGACAGGCCAGACCGCTGTCTTCTATGGGGCTGCCTGTCCATTTCCACCCAACATCCATCCCATCCGATCTGCCAGATGAATGGGCACAACATACCCATCCGTCTGTTTTTGGCGTACAAGATCAGATCGGATGCTGGCGGGTTTCAACAGATACTTGTCCTCTGACACCCAACGTAGAGGTCTATGGATGGTCTGATTGGGTCTGCCTGAAAAACTGACACTCAGGCCCAATCAAAACGTCAGTGTGAAAGGGGCCTTATGATGCAAAATTAACTGTACTGTTGATAAAACTTGTATCTACTACTTACAGGGCTGCTGTTAGAAACCACGGGGCCCCATAAAGCCAACCTGGCAGGGCCCCCCACGCAAAAAAACCCCATAGTTTACTATACTTCAGTTATGATGAATGAACTCAGCGAGTGATCGGTACTGATTGCTCATTGTGTTCATTCAGGAAAGGAAGGGGCTGGTAAATAGGACATATTTACTAGAATCTTCCCCCATTCTCCATCCTGAAGGATCCTATTATACTAGTGCCTACAGCTGCCGGTGGAAAGTAAAGGAGGGAAGCTGGCAGTACTGTGGGGGTGGGGGCACACAGGGGGGAACCGGGCAGCAGGGGGAAACATATGGTGCACAAGGACTGTGATGTGGGGCTATTACTGGAACCGATCCCCTGTATGGCTCTCTCTGCAGCAGCTGAAAGCCGACGGGCGGAAGAGGAGAAGTCAGCTTTCAGCTGCTGCAGAGACAGCCATACAGGGGATCCAGCAATTGCCCTTCCGCTTTTCCTACCAACCTCTCTGCGTACATCTGATTCACCCATCTGCCTGGGCCCCCCTGCTGGCCTGGGCCCCCTACAGGAGGACTGGTGATACCCCCATATCCACAGCCCTGACTACTTATACATACTTGCTTAGCATGGTAAGTCTTTCTATTTCAGTAAGTGTCAGTTTTATTTCTGAATGACATATGCTACATGTAAGCAAGTACAATATGGATTGCTGCAAAGTAACAAGATGTTGATGAGTTGAAGTGCACATTAAAATGAAATATCATTTGAGGATTCAGTGGTTAAATTACAGACATGAAGGACATTGTATCAGATACTTACTGCAGAGGAAGATCATTGATCTCTTGAGGTAGGAACTTGTATAGAGCCACATAGCAATACATTGGAGATATCTCCTTTCTTGGCTTGCCGGCTGACACCAAGCTCTGTGCACACAGACATGCAGGTAAATAAGATGCATCTGAATTATGAAATCCCTTTTGCCTGACAAGTACTCACCGTCATGCTGCGTGTATCTTCACTTATGCTAGCCTCATCTGCAAACACTGAGAGTAATAGAGAGATCAATAAGTTCACAGAGAAAATGTGAAGGCATAGAAGAGAGAGAGAGGTGGAAGAGAAAGATAAGAGAAAATGTTAGACATAGGGATACTGGGGATATGACGCCCACCTGGGTGACTTGGGCTGTCTTCACTGCTTTGGATGCTACCTTCTGGGTCCTCCACTCTTTCCTCTTTCTCGCTCTGCAAATTGTATCACATACAAAAAACTTGCATTTTAAAAAGCAGCTACCAAAGCCACACATGGAACAATTTTATACATGATCGTATTGCTGATTGATTACTGAAAAAATAGAAGATCTAAAAGATTGTTCAATGCACCATACACGTAACACTGTTTTCCTATTAGAATTTCTGTGCAGACCATCAGAGTGCCAGCGGGGAATCTCCAGCAGGGCCGGTGATCGACATCTGTAGCCACCAATAGCAGTGCAGTTAGGGCGGCGAGCAGGGGCAGACTGACCATTTGGAAACTCGGGCACTGCCCGAGGGCCCGGGGTCAGTAGGGGGCCCCATGAGATGCCCCTGGTACCTTTTTCATAGGCTTTTTTAAGATTGGGCAAGGACACAGGGGCCCCATGATCCCCTATTGCCCGGGGGCCCCATCAGTTGTCAGCCCTGGCGGCGAGTGTGCGCCCTCTACCCGGAATGCAAAATCCTGTATATATACATGATTTTGCACAGCCCTGCCACCCTGTAGCAGTTCTGCTATAGGGCAGCAGGGAAGCGGTTAATTAAGAACATGTTTGATACAGAAGCAGGGGCGGACTGGCAACTCATGGGGCCCCCGGGCAATAGGGGATCATGGGGCCCCTGTGTCCTTGCCCACACTCAAAAAAGTCTATGAAAAAGGTACCAGGGGCATCTCATGGGGCCCCCTACTGACCCCGGGCCCTCAGGCAGTGCCCAAGTTTCCAAATGGTCAATCGGCCCCTGTTCAGAAGATATAGATTTGGATTTTCTTTGATTGCGCAGTTTTATTTTTATTATGGTTTCTGTATATGCTTCTATGTGTGTGAACTATAATAAAGTAATGACACAAGAGGCAGCCTGTCACCTACTGATCTTTCGCCACCCACAAATTCGGTGGAGAACACTGTGTAATAATAGAGATGCGCCTCCATGTCAGACAGCTTGGTTTTGAAGCACACACAGGCAGAGTAACATTAATAACAGTGTCCCCTGACATGACAGGCCCTGCTGTAGTTGCATCCTCTGCATTTCCTGTGCTTAATCCCTAGTTAGCCATCTGAGCAGTGACGTAACAATAGCCAGAGCAGCCCACACAGCTGAGACAAATCAAACATGGAAAATCTGTATGCATGGAAGAGAACACAGATCCAGTACTGTGTCATTATGGATTGCACAGGATTCTGTTGACATTGACCCTGTACCCCCTCTGACATTTCCAATCAAGAAGAGCTGATGTAAGACACACAAGAGGAAACTTCAGAATCATTGCCGCTAGTCACAGATTTGCTTTTTCAGGCTACACAGTAAACTGTATTTGTAATCTTAACATTTATAGGTAAAGTTGATCCGGGGAATATCCGATTGCCTCTCGGGGGATCAGGAAGGATTTTGTTTCCCTGCAGGAGCAAATTGGATCATGCTTTACTCTGGATCTGTACACTCGATAAGAAAATTGTCCCAAAAATTTCCCAGAACCACTGATCGAACGATTTTCTCTTTGTTGATGAGCAGGATGTTTAACCGATAACGATATTGTGAACGAAAAAATCCGCATGAACAACAGTGAAAAATGTTGTTGTTTCGATTTGAAGAACTGATTTTCTATGCGGTGGTATGACGGTCGTACGAAAAAAATCTATCAAGTGCTATCACGCATGAGCGGAAACAGATGACCCGGATGTTTATGTCCAAGGAATCTTTGTAAACACGAACAAAAAATCCAAATTTAGATTGGCCTAATGAGATAATGAAACCAGAATGATGCATATTATATTTTATGTATCACTATTTATGTATATAGGTCATGTAATAAACTATATTATACTCATTGCTGGTAATTGTGTATATTGCTCGTTCTGGCCGGAAGGTCACATGCACACTGCATCACTTCCACTTGTACGGAAGACATCAACACTACGTATTGCCCAACAAACGATTTTTTTTTATTGGTTAATGTGGGCCACAATTTTGACCAACGAACGCCTCTCGGTTGTCGGATGACCGATCGGTCAATTTTCTAATCGTGTATTCCCACCTTAAGGCTAGGTTCACATTATGTATGGCGCAAATTGTGCCGCATCCACACCAAAAAGGTGCAGGACCCTTTTCTGGGTCCGCACTAGAATCGGATGGCATGGGTATTCCCTCCTATGCGATCCGATTCTGCACTTCGGTTCGCGTGAACAGGGTGTGATTCTGATTCAGTGCAGAATTCGCACAGAAAACACTGCAAATTCCGCAAGTTGTGAACCCAGCCTAAGGATTATAACTTTTTTTTTTTTTATGGTTGAACTGGATGGATTTATGTTTTTTTTTCAGCCAGACTAACTATGTAACTATGTAATCTAAAGATTGTTATACATCAGTAGAATTTCATTTGAACTTTTGTTGGAAATTCTGATAAATCCTTTATTGGAGCTTTCAATCTTACCACCATTGAGTTAACTAATGCAGGCCATAGACGGGTCGTTTATCGGTCGAATATTTGTCCGAACAAAAAATCAGCCGATATTCACACTGTTTGTGGGGCAATGCCATCGGCCGTTTTTTGCGGATCTTCTCGTTTCTTTTTATCGGTCATGCTGGAAAATCCACAAAAAATGGCCGTTTTTCGTAAGCATTGGTGGCAGCATCCATGGCAGCAGCGACCGATTTTTCGTTTATCGTCGACAATTCGGCCCATAAACGGCCCATCTATGGCCAGCCTAAGTTCACCTTTTAGAGAAAAAAAATAAATGCACATTTTTTTGCAGGTAAAAAAATGTGCAAGTATTTTTTTTTGTCTGTAAGAGCCTGTAAGGCTCCGTTCACACCTATGCAGTTTGCTTTTTGTCCATTCTGCAGTGCTTTTTGCAGTTAATGATGCGTTTTTTTTCCGCTTTTTGCGTTTTGTTCAGCTCTTTTTTTTCTTTTAAACCTCTTGCCCTCCAGAGTATTTACCCCCCTTCCTCACCAGACCATTTTTTGTGATACGGCGCTGTATTACTTTGACTGACAATTGTGCGGTCATGCAACGCTGCAACCACATGAAATTTATGTCCTTTTTATCCCACAAATAGAGATTTTAATTTTTTTGTGCTATAAACAAAAAAAGACCGACAATGTTGAGAAAAAAAACTATATTTTTTACTTTTTACTATTAAACATGTCCAGTAAAAAATGTAAAAAATCAATACATGTAAATTAATTGGTTTGTGTGAAAGTTATAGCCTTTACAAATGGCAGTATATATACTGGAATGGTTTTTTTTTACTAGTATTGGTGGTGATCACGACTTATAGCGGGACTGCCATCCCCAGTGACACCAATACAGTGATCAGTGCTAATAAAAAGCACTGACGCTGTACTACTGGCACTGGGCAAGAAGGGGTTAACATCTGGGGCGATCAAAGGGTTAACTGTGTACTGTGCCCTGTTTCACTATGGGGGCTGTGTGTGCTTCACTGGAAGCACACTGCTGTGTAGGTTTCTGCTATGCAGAGCCATAATAAGCAGTGTGCAGGATCTGTGTTGTTTATACATAGGTCTCTCCCTCGTCAGAGATACTTGGAGATCAGCGGGTGCCAGCGAGTAATCACAGGCCGGAACCTGATAATTGACTGCCGAGGCCACGAATGGTGGCACGGGTAGGTGCGCCCCCTACCCGGAACTGCAAAATCACGTATATATACAGCAGTATTTCTGCTATAGGGCAGTGCAAAAGCGGTTAAAGTTGAATTTTTTTTTGTTGCTGGACAGAATAAAAATGCAAACTCAAAAAGTGGCAAATATGCGGCAAAAACACACTACCATGCATTTCATCAGATTGCCATTGAAATCTGTTGTAGCAAAAACGCTGCTTTTTGCTTTGAAAAAAGTCCCTGACCCTTTCCAAAAATGCAGCTGCTCAAAAAAGCATAGATGTGAACATGTTCCATAGAAAACCATGTTAAATGGACTGCAGTGCGTTTCTGCAAAAAGCACAAAAAAATGCATCGGTGTGAACGGAGCCTAAAGCATTGCACCAGCGTTTAGCAGATTGCTGGTGCCATGCAGGTCTCCTGCAGACCTGTCAGCATATCTGCTTTCCATACGGGATGTACGGGCAAGCATATATACACTCTCCCTCCAGCTTTCTGCCTGTACCTCCATATGGGCTTTCAGTTAGAAAGCTGGAGGAAGAATGATTGCACTACAAGTGAGCTGATCAGCACATTTGTAGTCCACTGAGAACTACAAATCCGCCTGTCGTGGTAGAGGATGCTCCTATTTTAAATGTGACAGTGGCTGTGGGGGAGAAGATCCCCCACCTACTTTCACAGGGAAGGGGAGCAGGGGGAGAGGGGGGTACAAGCTGGACCATATGACATGGTACACCCTAAATACAAGTGTAACATGTAACAAGTTCCTTAAGGTGAACTTAGGCTTTTAAATTTAAAGCAGGCTTGCTATGGAATCTCAGACATATTATTTATTTATTCCAGGTACTTATATAGCGCCGTCAATTTACGCAGTGCTTTACACATACAGTCAGGTCCACAAATATTGGGACATTGACACAATTCTAAAATTTTTGGCTCTATACACCACCACAATGGATTTGAAATGAAACAAACAAGATGTGCTTGAACTGCAGACTGTCAGCTTTATTTGAGGGTATTTACATCCAAATCAGGTGAACGGTGTAGGAATTACAACAGTTTGCATATGTGCCTCCCACTAGTTAAGGGACCAAAAGTAATGGGACAATTGGCTTCTCAGCTGTTCCATGGCCAGGTGTGTGTTATTCCCTCATTATCCCAATTACAATGAGCAGATAAACGGTCCAGAGTTCATTTCAAGTGTGCTATTTGCATTTGGAATCTGTTGCTGTCAACTCTCAAGATGAGATCCAAAGAGCTGTCACTATCAGTGAAGCAAGCCATCATTAGGCTGAAAAAACAAAACAAACCCATCAGAGAAATAGCAAAAACAATAGGTGTGGCCATAACAACTGTATGGAACATTCTTAAAAAGAAGGAACGCACCGGTTAGCTCAGCAACACCAAAAGACCCGGAAGACCACGGAAAACAACTGTGGTGGATGACCAAAGAATTCTTTCCCTGGTGAAGAAAACACCCTTCACAACAGTTGGCCAGATCAAGAACACTCTCCAGGAGGTAGGTGTATGTGTGTCAAAGTCAACAATCAAGAGAAGACTTCACCAGAGTGAATACAGAGGGTTCACCACAAGATGGAAACCATTGGCGAGCCTCAAAAACAGGAAGGCCAGATTAGAGTTTGCCAAACGACATCTAAAAAAGCCTTCACAGTTCTGTAACAACATCCTATGAACAGATGGGACCAAGATCAACTTGTACCAGAGTGATGGGAAGAGAAGAGTATGGAAAAGGAAAGGAACTGCTCATGATCCTAAGCATACCACCTCATCAGTGAAGCATGGTGGTGGTAGTGTCGTGGCGTGGGCATGTATGGCTGCCAATGGAACTGGTTCTCTTGTATTTATTGATGATGTGACTGCTGACAAAAGCAGCAGGATGAACTCTGAAGTGTTTCGGGCAATATTATCTGCTCATATTCAGCCAAATGCTTCAGAACTCATTGGACGCCACTTCACAGTGCAGATGGATAATGACCCAAAGCATACTGCAAAAGCAACCAAAGAGTTTTTTAAGGGAAAGAAGTGGAATGTTATGCAATTGCCAAGTCAATCACCTGACCTGAATCCGATTGAGCATGCATTTCACTTGCTGAAGACAAAACTGAAGGGAAAATGCCCCAAGAACAAGCAGGAACTGAAGACAGTTGCAGTAGAGGCCTGGCAGAGCATCACCAGGGATGAAACCCAGCGTCTGGTGATGTCTATGCGTTCCAGACTTCAGGCTGTAATTGACTGCAAAAGATTTGCAACCAAGTATTAAAAAGTGAAAGTTTGATTTATGATTATTATTCTGTCCCATTACTTTTGGTCCCTTAACAAGTGGGAGGCACATATGCAAACTGTTGTAATTCCTACACCGATCACCTGATTTGGATGTAAATACCCTCAAATTAAAGCTGACAGTCTGCAGTTAAAGCACATCTTGCTCGTTTCATTTCAAATCCATTGTGATGGTGTATAGAGCCAAAAATGTTAGAATTGTGTCAATGTCCCAATATTTATGGACCTGACTGTATATATTGTACATTCACATCAGTCCCTAACCCTCAAGGGGCGTACAATCTAAGGTATTAAACAGGTTTCTCTTGTGCTTAGCACATGTGTGTTATAATATGTATGGTTTTTCCCAAATGGAAATCACATTGATGTCTAGAATTCTGTTCATTCCTATCCTGTCCTTCAAATTTCCTTGCCACTACAACTGAAACTATTAAAAAAAGTGAACAAATGTTCTGAGGACAAAAAAATTTCTAACAAAATTAAAATTGTTGTAGAGTATGAAAGAGAACTAACAATTATGCAGTCATATAAAATATTGATTTTATATAAAATAATATAAAATATTGTGATTTTCAGCACTTGCTTGGAGTGGAAGGGCTTTGAAGTGGAAAGGCTTAGAATTTATACTAAGGCCCTGAGATCTGAGATGCTGAAAATGACAGGTAAGCTACTGAGGACACAGTAGTTAGTTGGAAGATGAAGGTTAAAAGTTAGCTCTTTGAACTGTTGGCTTTTCTTTACTGACAACGTCTGTCCATAGCTCTGGTTTATAGTAGCGTACTAATTATGCTTGTAGGCAGGTACAGTCTATTTCCTCCACTGAAGATGGGGCCCAACCTTAGTGGTATTGCAGAAAGAGAGGAAGTCAAGAGGAACATGCCCCTCTATGGTTTCCTGGGTCACTGGGGAAGCAATCTGAAAGCAGTGCCCGTAGTGAAAAAAAAAGAAAAGAGAAAAAATAGCGTAGGGCAGACATGACTATGTGAAGAGGCGTAGGAAAGACAGGAAAGGGTTAAGTAAAGGTGGGAAGGTAGTAAAACATGTAGGTTACCTGATTGGTGATGGGTAGTGCGGGGTGGGGTCTTCCACACCTTTGGGAGTGGTGGGGGAGGTCAGACAATCCAGTGCAGAAGTGGCAGCGGAAGAGGAAACTTCCCTTCCACCCTCCCTTGGGGTTTGTTTGGGTTTTTCAGTTCCCGGCTTGTTTTGGCTTCGGGGGCGGTTGTTGGTCTTTGGAGACGGCAAATAATTTTAAGCCAAAGCGAATGGTTGGGACCCATCGGTGGTATGGTGTGCCTGGGTGCATTCTGGTTAACTGAGGTTTAACTGGAAGGTGGAAGTTCTGCACTGGGGATGGTGTGTTTTGTCTCCAAGCTGGTGCGTTGCGGCTGGAGGCCTAGTATTAATATTATTGTTTAGGTTCCGTGGGGGAATATCGGTATTGTTTGGTGCCTTCAAAGACCAACAACTTCTCCTGTATGTTTCTGTTTTAAGGAATGTTTTTGTGTTATTGAAGTTAAATTGTTAATAAAAGTCTGTGATGGCCATTTTACTCCAATGGTTTTTTGGTCTTCTTTATTCGTATAGTAAAATGGCTATATCGAGATAGAGAGGGAGGGAGAGAGAGAGAGACAGAGAGAGTTGTGTAACTAGCACATCTCTTCTACACTAGTCATGCTGCTGTCTTGTGTAACTCTGGTGACCATCTTGGGTCAGGCTGAGTCTATTTAAGACCCTGGCTCCTGGGCTTGGTGCGCATTTTTATAAGTGATTAGTGTAGGGACCAATCACCTGTCTGTCACGGAAAATGAACAATGGTAGAGAGAGGTTCCAGATGAGTAGGGACAGGCTAGGGACACACCATCCTTCTGGAATCCTCCCATTTTGGGTACAGATCGGCCAGGCCGCATTCCACCCTCTGAGACAGACGCTGTTGGCCAATCCTAGACTTGCTCTACTCCTCTCTGCCATTACAATACATGAGCGTTCCCAGTCCGGTGTCATTCCGCCGGGTTGTTTATGAAGTTGAATTTTGAGTTTAATATAAGTTTGTTTCCTGTTTGTTTCTTGCAACTGGACTGCACCTCCTCACATGCGTAAAACTCTCCAGTCCTTGAATTAGAATTTAGAGTTGCATTAGGGAGTTTGACTAGAGGATGCTATAAACATTTTGCTATGGGTCTCCATTACCTGTAGTTATGCCCCGGCACCTAAGCACAGGAGATATACTCGTCCTGCCCTGCATACTTACCAGGCTGCGTGTGGGGGACTCTGATACGCTGCTACATGTCGAACGATTCAGATGTGCTAATGATGTTCCATATCGCAAAGTCTCATATACAGGATCAACCTTTTTGGGAACAGCTAAAGAGAGAGATGGTGATGAGGAACATCTTTACAGCAATAATTTATTTACAGAGACAAATATGCTCTTATCTAGAAGAAAAAACCTGGGTGAAGACAGAATAACAACTATTGATAGCCAAGTATGAGAGCCAGTGCCAACACATTATTAGACAGCAGAGCATACATTCCCTCCAGGACAAAAACCTACAGGCCCCTTTCACACAGGCATCCTGTATGTCCGTTTTTCATCTGTGAAAGCGGACACCCATGTATTTCTATGGATTAGCATATGTAAATGGGTGATCATCCATTTACATCTGTTAATGTCCGTATTCGTTTTTTTGAAAGGAGGAAAACCCTGTATTTCATCCGTAAAAAAAATGGAACGGACAAAAAACGGATGTAAACAGACAAACGGATGTAAATGGACGAAAAACAGATGTAAATGGATGAAACTGGACAAAAACAGATGTAAATGGATGAAAAACAGATGTAAACGGATGAAAAACAGACAAAAAAAAACTGATGTAAATTGATGAAAAATGAATGGAAACTGATGAAAAATGGATGGAAACTGATGAAAAATGGATGGAAACTGATAAAGACAAATGGAAACTGGTGAAAAATGAATGTAAACCGATAAAAAATTAATGTAAACTGATGAAAAAACGGATGTAAACTGATCCGTTTTTGCATGAAAAAAACGTGACTGAACTGATGAAAAAAACAGAAAGTTGCCACACACAGTTTTTTTAAACTTGTGGAACTGGGTAAAAAGTTAATTGCTATACCCTTAGGTATAGCAATTAACTTTTAACTAACAGAAAAAGGATTTACTCAAATTCCAAATTTGTGTGCCATTGCATCTAAATATTAAAATTTCAACAAACTAAAGTGGACAATCATGGGTGGTATACGGGTTGACTCACACCCATCAATGTAAGGCAAATTGCATTTTGACCCATTTACAACTGCGTAAATGCCCTCTCTGCAACCAGTACAGTGCACTCACTGTGAAACAATATAAGATAAAATTACCAATAAATGAATCAGTCAAAAGTTTGAACATTGGAGACCCAGTGAATTTTTAAGAAATTTGCAGTTTTCAAACGGGAAGTCCAATAAAAGTCAGGGTGATAAAAACCAAGTTCCAAAAAAAGTGGTATTGCAAAGCAGGAAATGCACAAATGTGCAAAATTTTTTGGAAAGCTCCCAGAAGCCCTGTCTGATAAGACGAGAGAAGGACAAAAAATGGTATGTAGCCAATTCTTCAATCGTCTGTCCGTTGCTGGCGCCACCATCTTAGCTAAGGGAAACCGATGGTGCAGCCGCAAGGCTGCACCATCGGTTTCCTACAGCGAACTTGGTTTCCTATGGTGAACTCGGTTTCTGTGGTGAACTCAGCTGGAAGAGGAAGCAGGTACGTGTCAAAACTAGGTACCTGCTCCCCCCAAAAGGTGCCAAACGTGGCAGCGGAGGGGGGAGGAGGCAGAAAAGCAGATCTTCCACTTTTGGGTTGAACTCTGCTTTAATATGTACTCTCCACTCTCCCTTGTCTTCAAACACAGCCATTTTGCTACTTCTTTGCTGATGCAGGTATTGACCCCCTCCAGTTGGTTCAAATACCTTCTCCACCCACTGCATACTGTGACATCTCATACATTTACGGATCATACATTTTCTAACTACATATGAGCCACCAATAGAAAATATAACATGCAACAGGAGAAACAGGTATTCAAACACCTAGAAGCGTTGAATACCTGCAGTAGCTGAGAAGCAGCAAAGAGGCAGAGTTTGAAAATATGGGCCACTGGAAAGGTAAGTATACATGATCTTCCTTTAAAGCCCAAGCTTTCCAAATGTAGAGCAAGGGCCTGCCTAATTGGATACAATTGAAAGTGTTGTTTAGGTTTGACCTCATATATGGTTTTTGGTAAATCTAAAGCAAAATTCTCAATAAAATGGTATAATGTATGGCCAGTCTAAGGGCTTGTTCACACAGTGTGTGACCAAGAAATGGTGCACGGGTGTTTGCAATCAGCAGCAGCCTGTATAGATCAATGAGAGGCTGAAAGGCACCATGGCTGTTCTCATGTAACCACTCAGATGTGATCTTAGGCTGGCCATACATTATGCAATTTTCTTGAGAATTTTGCTTTAAATTTACCAAAAACCATATAATATGAGGTCAAACCTAAATAACACTTTCAATTGTATCCAATTAGACAGGCCCTTGCACTACATACTTGAAGCTAAATCTAAAGGAAATTGGGCAGAAAGTGGACAGAAAATTGTAAGAAAATTGTAGTGTTGGACCAGCTTTAGTAATAATTTTGAGCCCTTTCAGTTAATTGCAGTGTATTGCCACATATGCATTCACATGGGATACCTTGTGCATTAACATGGGTTGTGCTAAATCTGAACTTTAGTGTTCCTGATGGTCAGCAGCTCTTTTTATAATGTGTAAGTAAGCACAGCATATATTTTCTGTCCACCAATGCTGTCAGCTCCGCAATCACAATAAATTGCGAACAGATAGGCTTTTAATACAGTAAAATCAAGTAGGTTGATTTACTAAAGAAAGACAATTGCACTCTGCAAGTGCAGTTGCGCCAGAGGTGAATCTTACCATTACAAAGATTGCCCAATCACATGCAAGGAATGATTGGATGATGGAAGTCAGCAGGGCTTCCCATAGGGTTGCCATATTTTCTTCAAGCCAAATCCGAACACTTTAGCAGCGAACAGCATTTTTTTCTTAAAGGGGGAACGCTGTGGAGTCTGGTGTAAAGGGGAAGCATTTCCCCTTAAATTAGGATTCCCAAAGCCCCCCTATCCTTAGTCTGGGTCCTTCTTACCTTAGAGTACTCACTCGTTAGATAGAAGAAAAAGGGGTTCTGCTACACTACTACATGAACTTGCCCTTAGTGACCCATGGACCTTCCTAATCTATGTCATTTAGATTACATTTATGCCACAAATATTGGACTTTATGGACTTGGCATTAGTGTTTTGCGCTGATTATCACTTCTTCTACTCACTCGTTGGAGGCAGGAGAGAGAAAGGAGGGAGGAGGGAGACTTCAGTCACAGACAGTGGATGGTGAATTCACTTACCGAAGGCATCAACGCCTTTCATCCACCATGTACCTGTCAGCTGCTGGTCTTCACATTTCCAGACACAGAGGGGTAGGGGCAGGAAGACCTGATCAAGCCCTCTGCCCTCTCCTGTCCATGTGGTGGAGGAGGGGGACTGTGCTGGCTTTGGTCAGTGGTCACAGACACTCGACTTAGACAACTGCAGCCAGCCCTCCAGACATTTGGAAACCCTGGTGACTAGGGTTTACATGTGAGCACGCCAATGCACTCAGTAGCTATGGTCAAGGCTGCTGTTAGAAATCATGGGCCTATCATGTCAAATCAGCCTACCTGAAAGGGCCCCCTGCAACAGAGGCAGTGGCTAGGGGTGTACGAATGCCATGGCTGCAATGCTAATCTTCGCAGCCATGGCAGAAGTTGCTGCAAAGCACATGGTTGCGGCATGCTAATGTGGGGTTAAAGCAGGCAGTAAGGAGGCGATATACCTCCTTGCTGACTGTCAAATGCTATCTGAAGTGTGATCTAAATACCAGTCTTCGGAGAGCAAAGTACATGTGAATGAGCCCTTAATTTTTCTTTAAATATTTTACAGATTTTTTTTCTACAAACTGGTACATAGTGAACACAGTTTACTATACTTCAGTAATGAATGGACACAGGAGTGATCAGTACCGTTTTTCTCACTGTGTTCATTCAGGAAAGGAAGGGCTGGTAAATAAGACATTTTTACCGTCCCCCCCTCCCATCCTACAACCGATCCCCCTGTGTGTCCACAGCAACTGCTGGTGGGAGAGGAGAGGAGGGAAGCCAGAAACACAGCACGGAGTAATGTGTCTGACTTTCAGGGGGTCTGAAACCTGGACACATGCGATAAAACCTAAACTGTTTGGGTGAATCCCGGGACAGGTGGCAACCCTAGCTTCCCCTCATTTACTGAGCTCTAGAGCAGGGGTCTCCAAACTGCGACCCGAGGGCCGGATGTGGCCCATTGCTAGCCTTTATCCAGCCCTTGGAGCATTATTCCTCCCAATGATATGAAGCAGTATTCCTCCCACTGACACCAACAATGGGGCACTATTTCTTCCACTGATAACACAGTGGTACTATTCCTCCCAATAATACCAATGATGGGGCACTACTCTTCCCCCTACTGACCACCATCCCTGAGGCCATGTTTATTCTCACTGATGCTGGGCCCGGAACATTTTCTACCACCACTGGCCACACTCCAGCCCTCTTAAAGTCTGAAGGACCATAAACTGGCCCTTTGTTTGAAAAGTTTGGAGACCCCTGCTCTAGAGCAACTGCACTTGCAAAGTGCACAGTCTATTTGCCTATAGCAAATCAACACTACTATGTCTCTTCTGCTTTAAAGTGTCTTACCTGCCTATCCACACTATACACTGAGTTCTAGCACCTGCAGAGATTAACTAACTCCCGTGCATGCACAGGAGTGGTGTCATCTTGGCTTGGCCAATGAAAATGGCCAATATTGAAATGTGGAAGAGCCTGGGGAGATGTTGGTGGCTGGTGAGGGAGTTCTTGGACACCACGTTGCTGCAGTGTAGGTAAGCATAGTTCCACTTTAAGGAGTTTTTGCTTTGTTTATGTGCTTTAATAATGAGCTTAATGTATTTTTATGACAAAAAAAAACCTGAACCTGGTGGTGAAAAGGATAAAATGCTCCACAGCATTGACATGCAATATTTCATATTTCTGTTTATTTGTTTAGTCCTACAATGCAAAACCACTTTATATTCCAAATCCCTTTAATATACTTTAGTTATGTGTGTTTTGGTGTTCCATTGTGTGCAAGATATGTAGGCAATAGCAAAAAAACCCCAAAAACATCGGAGGACTAGATAACACTAGAAAAAATTCCATCCCATTATAAGTCCTATCTCACAGAAACTACAT